CCGAGGCGGAGACGAGCCAGTGCGGCGTCCAATTAGAGCACATGATCATTAGGTATGAGTACGACACCTATGCCCCAGCCGGCGGAAGCAGCGGCTAGCGCTACCCCCGCGTCCACCTCTGTGTCGACTCTGCTGCCCTCTCCCTGATCCTCCACTGCTCCAGGCATACCCACGCCGACCAGGGATGGGCCGCCGCCGGCCCGGCCTGGACCACGCCATGCTCCTTGACCTCCAAGGATCTCGGCAATGGGGGCCTGCTTGACCACGCGTGCAACACCATCGCCGCCATGGTGGACAGGAAGTCGCCCGATGAGATCCGTGCCATGTTCGGCATCAGGCCCGCCTGCGGCTCTGCTACTCGACCGGACCCAAAGGTAGAGAAAGCGCTGCTAGCTCTCCACTTCGTCCGCTACCACGGCGATGGCGTCTCCGCGTACGACCCCAAGCTCCGTCGGTTCGTGGCCACCCGTTACTGTCACAACTCACACCGGCATCACAAGATAAACAGTGCAAGTCCTCCCCACACAAACTAAATAGGGAGGAGAACAAGTAGGCGACGTGACGGCGGTGATTGTGACTGCAACGGCGTCGCAGGTGAGTCCCGCCAACCCCTGAATCCTTCTTCCTCTCTTCCCCTTCTCCATGCCGAACACCTGTACACCCGCCTGCAGTAACTCCTCTATTCTTCGCATGTTCAGTTGCTCCTTTACTCACGACTCTTTCTTTGTGTTTTTCATTGTATGTCTACTAAGTACAGTAGGTGTACTGAGTACTGTTCTATCCTTTTACTGTTTTCTTCAGCCATCTTTTGTTCTATATACTTCGTTAGTAAATGCCCTAATATTTCTTGTCTAGCCAGCATGTATTTCGTACTACAGTGAGTTGATGTGAAATCCTGCAATATTTTGTAATGATCATCTAATTAATTTTGAGTGGCATTTACTTGCAGGTTTTTTAAAGGAACTTTTGGCAAGAAATACACAACCGTGTCATTCCGTGCTGGACCTCTGTTATTGGCAAGAAATACACTAATGTGTAGCTCACTGCTGAGGTAACATCAAATTCATCTAATACTTGTTCTCGCATGTAGAAGTAAAATGCTCTTTCAGAATTAAGTTATTAGTGTCAGTTGATATTCTTCAGTTTAACAAACTATAATTGATTGCTCTTTATGCTAATCTACAGAAGTTTAGAACCATATGTATTCTGAACATTGGCAAGTCCGCTTACATAAATTCTTCTATTTTTCCATTGCAATGAGAGAAAAAAAAATTGGACGTTTTCTAGGATCTGAAGGAACCGCTTTGCACCATCACCGTCCTTAAATAGAGTGTTTTCTACGGTCGCTCCATGAATAGCGCATAGCAGAGCCGCACCTAATACTCCGACAACTCCCATCATATGAAATTAGGATTTTCGGTCTGCGGTTGGTTGGGCCAAAGAACGAGAGTCAGCTTCCTTAAGTCCGTTCTTCCTCAGTAGCTCAGTGGTAGAGCGGTCGGCTGTTAACTGACTGGTCGTAGGTTCGAATCCTACTTGGGGAGATTTGATTCATTCAGAATTCGAATTGATAGTTATAGCTTTTCTGACTAGCATATACATGCAGTGCCAATGGAGAACTTGGACCAATTGATAATATACCCATCTTGGGCACTATACATCTATTTCATATCAATGTTTGCTACTGACGTTGTGATAGTTAATGTTTCATACTCCACATTTTTTTCTTCTTCAGACAAATCGAAACCATCTATCATATTATTCACCTTCTTGCAAATTTCAGTTATTTCTTTTTTAGAAAAGCTACTTTCTGTCTTTGAGTGCCGGTAAATCTAATTGAATTTTTTAAATCCACTTACGTCTTTCTAACACCGCAGATGTTTTTTTAAGCTATCCGGTATATGACATTTCTTGGCAGTTCATATTTCAAACTCCAGTTTTTAACTTCATATTGAATCAATTATTGTAAGTCAAAGCTAAAAGTGTGTATTGATATATTTGATTCCCAAATTAGGTTTCTCACCGCCGTAAGCTCATAATCTATGCACGTGAATTCTCATATAGGGTTCTAATGTTTGTCAAGACGTGCGTTGCACGTGCACACTTACTAGTTTATTAATAAACTAACCACATCAAAACAGAGTGTACCACGCAAAAAAAAACAGAGTGACCATCACGTACTGAGGATCTTTTGCCTCTCGACTTTAACCCTCTCAATATGGAATAAAACTCTTTTTCCCCCGCAAAGAAAAACCCACATCAAAGAAACGGAAAAGAGAAAATGGACGCTACAGATCCACGTGAAAAACTAAAAGTACAAGGTTAGTGTTCGAAAACATCTTTTGCATCTCAATGTTGTTCCACCATGACTTGGAGTAAACAAAAATAGTTCAAAAAACCATACATGCATAAGTTGAAGTAATCTCAAAGGTTTTGGAGACCCAAATGAACCGTCCATCCAATGGGTGCCAACATAAGACTGACAAACACATTGCGGCCAGGCAGGGGGCGAATCCGCCTCCAATACTTTAAAATAAATTTTACTATTGGTTGAGATGCAATGATGTTTAATGTAAATTTTGAATGGTGGCACCCCGGATTCTAGGTCTGCCACTGCGGCCTGAGACATGCTCCGTGTACGACAAGTTGTCAAACTACGGGTTTGCAGATAAACCATTGGCAAAGAAGGTTGCGGGCATAAAAGATAAAAAGATCAAGAACCTCCAAACAAACACGCCTGTTCATTGTTGTCACCATTTCGCATATAGGCTCGAGGTTTGGCATCATGTGCATTTCTTCAGGTCCACCACGACACAAGCATTATCTATTTGTCTCCAACCAACATTATGTTTTCGTGCACGTCTGCATTATGCCGGACAACGTTTCTAGAAAAGGCGACAGCCGCACCTTTTCCTCATCGAAAAATAAATTATAGTAACGGCGTCAACTTTACATATTTTTATCTTGTGGTTTATCACGACCCATCGTTTCGCTTTACGTCTATGAGCTATAACTCGGGAGAATGTTCGGAACTGTAATTAACCGTAAACATTACAACCATTAATCAGCCTTACAATAACGATTGCGCTACATAAGCAATGTCATTGATGGAAGATTTGATGCGCAAATCCTCCACTTCAAAAAGTTGTACCCCAAAATATATATTGAGAAAGAGAGGGTCAGCATATCTGCACTGAGTGCTGACTATTGATTTGTCATTAAGCCAACTACAGTACATCAAAGAAACTGAAAAAAAATGGACGGTTAAGATCCGCGCAGAAAAACTAAAATGCTGCTCCATCATGACTTGGGTAAAAATTTAGTGCGGACAATCTGACTCTATTCATTTATTAATAAACTAACCACATCAAAACAGAGTGTACGCAAAAAAAGAACAGAGTGACCATCACATACTGAGGATCTTTTGCCTCTCGACTATAACTCTCTTAATATGGAATAAAACTCCTTTTCCCCCGCAAAAAAAAACCCACATCAAAGAAACGGAAAAGAGAAAATGAACGCTAAAGATCCACATGAAAAACTAGAAGTACAAGGTTAGTATTTGAAAACATCTTTTGCATCTCAATGTTGTTCCACCATGACTTGGAGTAAAAAAAATAGTTCAAAAAACCATACATGCACAAGTTGAAGTAATCTCAAAGGTTTTGGAGAGTCAAATGAACCGTCCATCCAATGGGTGTGAATGGGTGCCAACATAAGACTGACAGACACATTGCGGCCAGGCAGGGGGCGAATCCGCCTCCAATACTTTAAAATAAATTTTACTATTAGTTGAGATGCAATGATGTTTACTGTAAATTTTGAATGGTGGCACCCCGGATTCTAGGTCTGCCACTGCGGCCTGAGACATGCTCCTTGCACGACAAGTTGTCAAACTACTGGTTTGCAGATAAACCATGGGCAAAGAAGGTTACGAGCATAAAAGATAAAAAGATCAGGAACCTCCAAACAAACACGCCTGATCATTGTTGTCACCATTTTGCAGATAGACTCGAGCAGGGTTTGGCATCTTGTGCATTTCTTCAGGTCCACCACGACACAAGCATTATCTACTTGTCTCCAACCAACATTATGTTTTCGTGGACGTCTGCATTATGCCGGACGACGTTTGTAGAAAAGTTGACCGCCACACCTTTTCCTCATCGAAAAATAAATTCTAGTAACGGCGTCAACTTTACATATTTTTATCTCGTGGTTTATCACGACCCGTCGTTTCGCTTTACGTCTATGAGCTATAACTCCGGAGAATGTTCGGAACTGTAATTAACCGTAAACATTATTACAACCATTAATCAGCCTTACAATAACAATTTTTGCTACTTGAGCAATGTCATTGATGGAAGATTTGATGTCCAAATCCTAAACTTCAATGAGTTGTACCCCCAACATGTATGTTGAGAAAAGAGAGGAGGATATCTGACATATGACACTGATTTTTTTTTCATATATACTTTTTTTGCTTTGATGAAACATAAGAGGTCGTCTCCAAAACCCACCATGCTTATCCTACTAACCCCGGAAAAGTGAAACCTCAGTTACCATAAAAACCTCAACAAAGCCCCAGAGAGTAGCAGCAGCAAGAAACAGGTCTGCCACGAAACAAAACCCCCTGAATCCAAGAGCAGCGGGCGTGGCGTGTGCGTGGGTCAGCACAGCACAGCACACAGGACCCACGCCCACAGAGGATATACACCAGCAGCACCAGTACGCGAGCGAGCCGGGCATTCAAAATCTCGCCACCTCGCCCCACCCCCCAACCCCAAGAACCCAAACGCATCGATCCACGCCGGCCGCCTCCCCACCTGCGAGCCCGTCCGACGGAACCGAATCCAGCCCATCGCCATCTTGCCCTCTCGCCGCAATCAAAACCTTCCTTTCCTTCCTTGCCTGCCTCTCTGCCGCCAGGATCATCACAGCCCCGAACCAACCCCAATCTCCACCTTTCTTTCCTTTCTTGGCCGCCGCCGCCGCCGCCCGCCATGGTGCACTGCAAGCAGCCGCGCACGAGGCCCCAAGACGCCGTCGGTGTCCCCGGGGCCGCCGGTCGCGCGCGCGCCGGGGGCGGGGGCCAGGCCGTGGCGGCGGACCCCGGCTACATGCGGCCGACCAGCAGCTCCGGCGCCAGGGCCGGCCAGGAGGTTGCGTCTGCGGCTGCGGTGGCCTCCGCACCCGCCGCGCAGCCGGTGGGGACCAAGGCGGCGGGGCTCGGCTTGGCCACGCCGCGCGCGGCCAGGCCGACGTGCGCCTCCGCCCAGAAGAGCGCCCGCGGCGGCGACGGAGGCGGGGGCTGCGAGGGGCACCGCGCGTGCCGGTACGCCTACTGCTCCTTCAAGGGCCACGCGGCCGCGGCGCCGCCGCTGGGGGCCTTCTTGGCGGCGCGGAGGGGCCTGATCAAGACGGAGCAGAGCATGAAGCACAGGGGCGTCTCCGCCTTCCGCGACCCCAAGACCAATCCCACCAGCAATGCTGTCGCCGGCAAAGGGGCCGGGCTCTTCGTCCAGGTGGCGTGTCCCGGCGCCGGCGCCCGCCCCAAGACGGCGAGCTCGGGGTCCTGCTGCAGCGGCCTCTCCGCCGAGGAGGTGGAGTCTCCCTACGTCAACTTCGGCCGCCGGAGTCTCCGGGGTGGGAAGACGGACAGGTGGGGCGCCTCGGTGGACGGCTCCTGCGGGTCCAGCGACGTCATCTCCGATGGCTTCGCCGACCTGCCGGGGACGACGAGTTCTCCCAGAGGCAAAGGGGACATTGGTCAGGAGGGGAAGGCTTCTTGGGTCCATCAAGAAGAAGCAGAGGAGGACTCTGTTGACTGCAGGTCTGATATCTCGGAGGAGCTGGGCGCTAGATACGAATGCAACAACATGTCTAAAGGTGAAATTTCTCTTCCTGAAATCGCTTGTTTCTTTCCAGTTTCAGTTTCCACCACATTGAATGAATTCCAGAAAACAACTGCTGATCGACGGCGAACAATGCCCAATTCTGCAGATTGCGGCGGTGGTGGTGGCTCTTCAGTGGAATCCTCAATGGATGACATATCCAGTGCATTTGGTGGGATGAATTTCCAAGATGTAGGTGCTGATGCCGCGGCAACCAGCCAGGGAAACAAGCTGACCATGTCCAGGAGAAGGACACCTAGAGGCGGGGAACGAATCCGGGCATTCAACCCCAGGGCCCCGAACTTTCTTCCGGTGGTGCCTGATCCAGATGCTGAAAAGGTTGATCTCAGGCATCAGATGGCTGATGATCGGAAGAATGCCGAGGAATGGATGGTTGATTATGCACTTCGGAGGACAGTGAACAAGTTGGCCCGTGCTCAGAAGAGGAAGGTGGAGATGCTTGTCCAGGCCTTTGAAACTGTTCTGCCACCAGTCCTGGGGGAGAAAAAGCCCGACGACAAGAAAAGCTTTGCCTGCCACTTATAGATTTTAGAGGTAAGAACAGCTAGGGGTAAAAATAATTTCAAGTAGTAGAATTCATTCATTCATGTGGCCCAAATTGTATGTATGCTGAAGATTTCACTCATGATGTGGTGTCGAATCTTTACTTGCAGTTTGAGGTTCAACCTGGAGCAGATGATGGTAACTGGGGTTCTAATTTGGTGGTCACTGCAATATTTGTGCCAGAGACCTGCTCAGCAGGATAGATAGCTGCTCACCAGCACCTGAGATCTTGTGCTCATAGCGCAGTTGTACTCGAGAGCCGCTAGCGGTCTCGCTCACTGAGTCAGCTGGTTAGTGTAGTGGCGTAGTGCATGTGTACATAGGTCTGTTGTGCTCATGCTGATATTTTAGTGATGAGAAAATGAGACTTGCAAACTGGCAAGAATATTCAGATGTATTCCTTGCTTGGACAAAGATCAATAAAACTCTTATTGACAGCAGTTTAAGGGGAGCGTGTCTTGGCAATCATGTGATCTTTTCGTGTTTGTTTGCATTCTCTGTGATAATAGTCAGCAAAAGGGAAGTTCCAGTTTTTTTGTCCATCTTATGGATGTGAATGTTTCCATATGCTGCCTATTTGCAATGTGTTAAGTAGTAACTCTAGAAACACAATAAGCAATTAAAACACCTAGTAACTGATGATTGCTGAGACTCTACTTGTGTTATCAATGCAACCGACTGTTGGTTGCAGGTCTAATGTGGTGCCTAACCGAGACAGTAGAACAGATGGTTCAGACCTGCTGGGGTGTACAATGCAGAACAGGCGTGATCGAATGCCATGTCAGGTAACAGGAGACAGCAGAAGAATTTTCAAATATTCGACGATTTGGTCCAGAGTTTTCTGGTGGGCACCAAAAAAATCATGTCCTGGCAAACAAATAAACAAGATTTAGCACGCCTGGCACTTCATTCATCTCAGGTGCAACGAAAACATAGTCCCAGATAAATGGCACTGAATAGAAACAGCAAGAAACGCTCCGAACAGATATGACAATAAATGGCACTGAACAGAAACAACAAGAAACGCTCCAAACGGATACGAGAAGAAGACAGATGGATCAAGCATGAATCACCATGAATAGATGGCATTAACACTGGAAACAACAGTCACAAGCCACAACGGGTAGAAGGTTTGATGCTCTCACCCACCTGAAGGATGGATGTTCATGCTAAGCTTGATATGCTCCAATCAGACCAACGGGCTGTAACTGAAACAGAAGCAGACAATTTACTGCCATGGTGCAGAATGTTTCAAAACTTGTGACTAGCAAAAGCAGAATATCTAATGTTATCTTCACTGAGTACAGCAACGAAACTAACTGTTGGTCGCTGGTCTACTTTGGTGCCAAACTGAGACAGTAAAACAGATGGTGCAAACCTGCTGGGCTAACGGACTAACTGAATGCCATATCAGGTAACAAGAGATGGCGGAAGAATCTCCGAATGTTCGACCATTTCGTCCAGGGATTTCTGGTGCTGCGTACCAAACCATTTCAAATTATGTCCCCTGCAATGCCATGACTGTAAGATGCAGCCTTGAACAGTGCAGACAGACAAAAAGAGTTTGCATGCAGGCCTGGTACTTCATTCAACTCATGAGCAACCAAGAAAATAGTCCCACATGAAACCAAATAAATGGCACTGAATAGAAACAACAAGAAACACTCCAAACGGATATGTGAAGAAGGCAGATGGATCGAGCATGAATCACCATGAATATAACACTCGAAACCAACAGTCACAAGTCACAACGGATACACGGTTTGATGCTCTCACCAACCTGAGGCATGCATCACCATGAATAGATGGCATTAACACTCAAAACCAACAGCTTGATGTTCCAATCACACCAACCCCTGTAACAGAAATAGAAGCAGACAATTTACTGACATGGTGTGCAGTCCAATAACTACCATGGACCATCAAAGGGCATATCAGCATGCAGTTAACATCCCATTAACAGCAGTAGGTCATAGCAACTCTGAGGAGTGGATCAGGCCCTTCGGTTGAGCAGATTTGAGTACATCTGCTGAAGCCAGCCAATGCAAACTAGCATTTTTTGTCTGCACAGAACATGAAAAGGGAAAAAGTTGATAAATGCTCGCTAGATATGATAAACAATGAGACGAGAGGTTTCATCAAATATGCAGTGTGCCATTTTCAACAAATATACCTCTACAATACTTAGCATAATTGTCAGTATAACGAAATGCCAGAAATTATCAGAACCTATACAGAAAATGCTAGTTTGCTTTACAATCACACCAACCCCTGTAACAGAAATAGAAGCAGACAATTTACTGACATGGTGTGCAGTCCAATAACTACCATGGACCATCAAAGGACATATCAGCATGCAGTTAACATCCCATTAACAGAAGCAGGTCATAGCAACTCTGAGGAGTGGATCAGGCCCTTCGGTTGAGTAGATTTGAGTGCATTTTGCTGAAGCCAGCTGATGAAAACTAGCATTTTCTGCCTGCACAGAACATGAAAAAGAAAAAAAAAGTTGATAAATGCTTGTTAGATATGAAAAACAATGAGATGAGAGGTTTCATCAAATATGCAGTATGCCGTTTTCAACAAATATACTACTACAATACTTAGCTTTATTGTCAGTATTACGAAATGCCAGAAATTTTCAGAACCTATAACTATCAAAAGTACAATAACTAGTGATATCTGCACTGAGTGCTGAGTGTAACAATTATTCATACTTTCCCAAGAATATAAATCAATGAAGAATACCAATACACTTCATTAGCAATTGCAAATGCCAAAGGGTCAAGTAGACCAGAGCAACGGTTGGGAAAGGAAGAACAGAAAGATGCAATACTCACAAAGAAATATATTACTATGGTCGTTCATAATCCGAATTTACAGGAGTTTCATAGCGAAGAAGGGGTGACATGATAAAGAAATCTTAGTATCACAGGGTTTACAACTGCATCCTTCAGAAGAACTCAGTCTAAGTGATTCTACCAGACTTCAAAATCAGTGGTGCTTGCAATTTCACTTTCGACCTTGCTTACGGAGCTCGTTTCAACTCTTCAGGAACTTGAACATCTGGGCAGATCATTTGGAATAGTTTGAAGCCTGCTTTCCACTAGCGGAGCATTGTCCTGAATAATACTCTCATGAAACATCCGCAGTGCAGCCTCTGGTGAAATTTCTTGCACAGAGTTGCGCAAATCTTCAACTTTTCCTCTACACTGGGCGTCTAGCAGCAACTTTTCTTTTAGGCTGCCTGGAAGACTAGCCAATGCACTGCTTTTTTTAAGGGCAACAAAAAATAAATAAGAACAGTATATAAGAGGAAGTCTATACAGAAAACTGTAGTTGGCATGACCAGAAATCCACTTCACCTAGTAATACCCCGAACGAGACCCCACTTGTATCCTTCAGGCGCAGATTGCCTATGCCCAAGATTGAAGCCCTCTTGGGCAGCGTCCTTCCGCCCTTCGGTTATGCCTTCCCTGAGCAATGCTACGCACACGATCTTTTTCAGCCGACATGTGCACGACAACTCATCCTCACCACTGGATTAGGCCCGTTCTTTAATATCTATGGGTTGGAGCTGCTTCGTCCGGGAATCGTTCGGTGTTCTGTCGTCCGCGTAGCTATTTCGGCCTTCCCTATAGCCCATCTGCAGAGAAACCAAAAGAGCCTTACCGTCAAACTTCTTTGGTATCAACGCAAACTCATGATTCATGATTAATCAACAACCATGGAAGTCAAAATAGTTATATACATTATGAAGCCGGTCCTGCAAGTGGGCCCATTCTGTGTGTAAGCTGGAACCATGTCCTGGAGAATCTGAAGCATCACACCAGGAGGAGTCATCGTCCGCAGCGGCATCTTCACCATTGCCTGAATCGAAATTGGTGGGGAAAAGACTAGCTGTGATGACATGGAGTGCTAGTAATTTTGAAGTTAAAACAGAACCTACATTGTTTCATTAAGCAGAAACTGTATCTAAGTAACATATACATACATGGCAACAAAAGACAGACGGCGGAAGGTTGCAAAATCTAGTGATACTACATCAGAACAAGGCTACGGCAGTACCATGCCAATAGGTTCCTTCCTGCCTCGATGGTGGTGCCTCCATCGAGAAACCAATCTACACCTGAAACAAACATGGAGCACCAAGGAGAATGGTGTCAGTTGACAGGCATCAACTTGATTTTCTGTTTAGTTCGTTGGCCTCGTGTCATATCATACACTCTTATTTTGATCTGTCAATTGCTAATTTTTCCTACCTCTATCATCTATCGAAGAGAGTAAATTCTAAATTTGCATTCAAAAGTATGCAAAATCTCGACGATATCTGGAAGACAGCATGAGCATCACAGCTCACACCAAACCTTCCCCTCCGCCCCCATCCATCCCGAAGCCTAGAGCCAGGCTTGCTGAAGTTGCACAGCTCGTGCAGAGGGATCAGCAAGCAAGAGGAAGACGGGAGTCCGGGAGAGGACGGAGCCTTACCTGGCGGCCGGCGGATTCAGTGCTCAACCGGGACGGCGGGGCCGGGGGTGGAGGGGGCGCGTGGGCTGTACGGGGAAGGCGGCGACGGAGATCCGCGGGAAGGACGACGTCAGGCGGGGGGCTGGCCGGCGTGGAGCTACACGAGGAGGCGGCGGCGGCGACGGCCGACGGGACAGAAGGAGAGGGGAAGGCTGCTGTTTTTTTCCACTTCCTTCTTTTTTTCGTACTAGCTTCGAAAGATAGACCAACAGAGACACGAATCGGATGTTTATTTGTCATGGATACGGATTTTGTACTCTCTCGTTCTATACTTCTGTCTAAACTTTTTTTTAGAATAAAAATATGCCTAACGTTTATCATTATTTTGTAAATAAAATATGGGTTATATGCCACAAAAATGTATGCCATCTAATGCACATTTTAAACAATTTGCTAATAATATATTTTTGGTAACATATAATCCATATTTTATTGACCAAAATTATAAGTATAAA